AGGTCAGCGGCGTCCGGAAGAAGCGGGCAGTGGGGCCTATGGGCACGCGCACGCGACGGCGCAGAGCAGCACAAGCGAGCGCGCGGGCAAGGGGCAGCAGCGCGGGCGCGACGATCGAGCAGCGGGGCGGCTGCGGTGGCGCGGTCACGGTCGCGGTGACCACGGCCACTGGACGTAGACCGGGCAGCGAGAACGACGGCCTACACCGATGAAACGAGGAGAGGGAAGAGGAGGACGGACGGTGGCTCACCCCCGTTGCAGGGGAACATCGACGAGGCTCGGTGGAGCCGCGGTTGAGGAGGAGGTCGAGGACGGCGCGGGTGATGAGGACGGCGAGATGGCCTCGGTGATCCAACGACGTCACGCCGTCGGGGAGGCGGGGTCCCGATCTGGAACGAGGGGGCAAAGGAGAGGGGCGATGACGTCCGGTGAGGTCCGGCGGCGGCACGGGTGCAAGGCGACGGGGGCGGCGGTTGCCATCGATGGGATCCGCGTGTGGGAGGGAGAGAGAGGTGTGTGAGATCGAGGGGAGTGGGGGGATAATGGAGACCGGGAAGGGGAGAGGGAGTGGCGAAGTGAGGAAAGTGGGGGATGTCGGTGGCTAGGGTTTCGGCACCAGGAGGTTAAGGGAGTGGGGATGGGCCGGTCTGGCATATGGCTGGGCCGAGGCCCAGTGGGGGAGGCCTTTTCTCTTTTCTGTTTTTTTATTTGATCTTTTTCCTTTTATCTATTTTTCCTTTCTAACTTAGTTTCTATTTATTTTAATTTTATAATATACTGAGTCGGCACCTAAATTAGTATCATTAGTACATGCCACTACCAAACCTAGTTTGGTACCAAAACAAGTTAGTTTAATATTTTAAAATTTAAAAAGCAATTAAATTGTTATTTCAGCCATTGTTTTTATTTAGTTTAGGGCATTTAAATATTTTGAAAAAGGTTGGCTCCAACATCAAAATAAGTTAGGGATTATCTGCCACATGATGAACATTTTAGTTTTCATGTTTGAGAAGTTTAGAATTGTACTTATTATTTGAAGAATTTGAACCGGATTTGGATCAACGTGAGATTAGTAACAGTAATAGTGGTGATGTGGCATCATTAGCATGGGAATACTGTAGCTTAATTATCCGGGCGTCACAATTTTACCTTGCGGTACCTTGGGCATCCCCAAGCTTAGGCTCTTGTCACTCCTTATTTCATAATCCATCAAATCTTTACACAAAACTTAAAAACTTTACAACACAAAACTTCAACAGAAAATCTCATGAGTTCCGTTAGTATAAGAAAATAAACCATCAATTTAAGGTACTGTAATGAACTTATTTTTTATTTATATTGGTGTTAAACCTACTGTATTCCAACTTCTCTATGGTTCATACGTCCCGATACTACTCATAGATTCATCAAAATAAGCAAACAACACACAAAAAATAGAATCTGTCAAAAACAGAACAGTGTAGTAATCTGGAGATTTCGAATACTTCTATAACTTCAAAAATTCTAAAAAATTAGGAAGACCAGGATAAAAAGTATATTGATCTACTACAGTTGGAATTAGTATTTTATCGCTTTCTGGTAAAAATGATAATTATTTTCGTGAGCGCATATTTTCTATTTTTATGAGCAAGATCAAACAATAATCATCCAAGAAGACCCTAAAGGCTCTACTTGGCACAAACACTAATTAAAACATAAAAAATACAAGTATAACAGAAGCTAGATGAATTATTTATTACTAAACAGGAACAAAAAGCAAAGAATAAAAATAAAAATGGGTTGCCTCCCAACAAGGGCTATCGTTTAACGCCCCTAGCTAGGCATAAAAACAAGAATAGATCTAGGTATTGCCATCTTTGGTATTGGGGAAGAAAAGACAAAATTTCTTATCTATAGCATTTATCTTTCTGTTTTGTGAGAGCACATGGCCATTGATAGTGGAAGAAAGATTAAGCACATTGCGAAAATTTACATCTAAACTTGCCTTCATCTCTTTAATTATTTCGTTTTGATAGAAACTCATAATGGCGGTAGATTCAACATCCTTTTTCTTGGGGTGCCCAAATATGGTTTCATCTTCTCATAAGAATGTTAATAGAGATATTCAAATATCAGACAGAATGAGATAAGCTTAAGCTAGCCATGAACACAAAGGTGGTTTCAAGGATACATCATTTTGTCCCACGATAGCGAGTCATAGCACTTCTCCGCAGAAAAAAAAACACACACAGTAATAGTTTGTTGTTTTGTAGAAAGAACACATAGTAATAGACAAGCAAAATTTAATTTTGCAATATGTGATTTGACTAGCTAGAAATTAATTATCTTTTTTATTACTCCATTCATTCCTAAATATAAGTCTTTTTAGAGATTTCACTATAGACTACATACGAAGCAAAATAAGTGAATCTACACTCTAAAATATATCTATATACATCCATATGTAGTTTGTAGTGAAATCTCTAGAAGATTTATATTTAGGAAGGGGGGGGGGTATTTCTCCACTAGGAGGAATTGAACCCCCCAAACCCTCCCTTCTATCAATTTTCCTGAGAAGTATAGCTCCCCCCTATACCCCCTACAACCCGACTGTGTAGACACTCACCTAGTCTACTGCCTGTCATACCCTGCCCTCCTATGTCCGGCATATCCTGGCCCTACCCCCCACAACCTGGCTCAACCGTTGGGCATAGCCCCTGCCCCTAACCCCCCACAGCCTGGCTCTGCCGCCGGGCATCCCTTACCCTTGTAGCTCCCCGCCATACCTGTGCCCCTCCAGCCCCAACCCTGTACACCCCTAATCCTAAACCCTATACTAAGAGCTCTACTCCCCTCCTACTACTACTTGGTGACATCCCTGCTCAGGCCAGCATCTTTAATGCAGTTGAATCCACCATCCTCAAGCAGTATGGGACTAAATGAACCCCAATAGTAGTTTATTGGACCTTACCCAAGTGGCCGCCGCCTGCCGGTGCTGCCCTCGCATGTCCCTGACGTATCTCCGGCGAGGGGAGAATAGCGACGTCACCGCCCTACCGATGGTGTGCACGTTGGTCTCCGCATTCGTTGGCCAGGGTTTTGGCTGGGGTCGAGTGAATTGGTTACACGACGCCCAACGAACTATGGGCAACGCTATTTCTCGCTTATAGCGAGACCTAGCGTGCTCTCGCGTAAGGCGCCTCTATAAATGGGCCAGCCCAGGCGTGCTGGAGGTGACAACCTCGTCCTTTTATTTTTTTTCCTTTTTTCTTCACTTTCGTTTATACTTCCAAATATTATTAAAAAGCACTTTCCATCAATTTTTTTTTGAAAAAATGTCAATCAAGCATTTGAATATTGTTAATGTTTATAAAGAATATTTTTCTCATGTATACAAAAATGTATAAAGTATACAATGTGTGTGAAAAAGTTTATCATGTATTTAAAAAAAATAATCAAGCATTTGAAAAAAATATTGAACAAGTTTTTAAAAAATGTTAAAAAAACATTTAAATTTTCTTAAATGTGTATGTTGATCGTATATTTAAAAATATTAATCAAGCATTTAAAAATGTTAAATATGTACAGAAAAACGTTAATAAAGCATTTGATCTTTTTAAAACATGTATATGAAAAATATCAAGAATGTATGCAAAAACAAAGGAAAAAAAGGGAAAACCAATTAAAATCAAGAAAGAAAGAAAATAAAAACGAAGAAGTAAAATCAAAAAAGAAAGAAAAGCAAAAAAACCCATGAAACCCGAGAAAGAAACAAAGACAAAGAAAAAAAAGAAAAGCCAATGAAAACCGTTGAAGAAAACTGGTGAAAAAGGAAAAAAACATAAAACTGAAGAAATCCGTTGAAGAAATGGAGAAAACCAGGAAAAAAAATAAAATGAAACGAAAAATAAAAAGAAACAAAAAATCCCGCAAATGGAAAAAACAGACGGCAAAAGGGGCCGGTCTGAAACGGTAGCGGGTATGAAAATGCTTCAGGCGAGACCGAAAGAACACTCGGTATAAGCAAGATATAGCCGAGCACTCAAAAAATAAACAAAAATAAAGCAAGATATAGCCTTTTGCTCAAAAACTAAAATAGATATAGCCTTTGCGGCGAACTGCTAGGTTAGTCCTCAAAAAAAAGTTGCTTTACGGTAGTTATTGGGCCATCTGTTGGGTATTATTGTGACCTGAATTAAAACTGACCGCTTGGTCCTGGCCCTGACCCAACCAAACCCTTCCCTCCTCTCTCGAGTCGCGCTGGCCGCCGACGGAGAAAGTCCCCGCCGCCTCCGTTGCCGCCAGCCCCTGCCGCCGGTCGAGAGGCGACACAATATTGGAGGCCGCCAGCCCCTCTCTTCCCCCCCACAGCTCAGACAGTCCCGTCCGGTCCACC